GGTGAGTCGCGACTTAATCTCCGGCTGCGTATCGCTGGAAATATCGTCCAAGACTTCGTCGAACATGCGTCGGAGTTTGAGAAACTCGTCTTCGATTTGACGTTCTTGGAGCTTTTTACCCATACAGAACACCACATTGAGAGCTTCTTTACGCAGTCTCGTGTGTTTGGATATTCCGAGCGAGTATCTGATCGCTATGACTATATTATCGACGATTTTCCCTAATGTTTTCTTGTCAGAGTCGTCCAAATCGTCGTTTAATAAAATTAATTTGTCGACGTAATTGTACAACGCTGAAACGACGCTCACTTGTACCGACCGGGTAATCCGGGGTAGACACTCCACGCAATGTTCCACGAACATTTCCCCGTACTTATCCTGGGTCGTTTTGTTCCTCTCCGGCCACGTTTTCCCCAAAGTTTCGTACGCGGTTTCCTTCAACTTGATGTTCTTCTCCCGCTTTTTGGCGATTTCCTCCGACGACGCGTCTTCATCCTCCTCCTTGCTCGACTTATCCACCAAAATCGACTGTATGATCCCGTAAACTTCATCAAACTTATCCACCTCCAGCGCGGCCAAGATATTCCCCAAAGACTCCAACGCGTCAATCTTATACCCGATTTCGTCCTTGCGACTCTCACTGCTTCGATAATTAAATCCACGTAGTTTTACAACGCTGCTCACTTGAATTTTGAATTTGAAACTGAAAAATTCCAAAACTGAAATGACGAAAAATTGAGAAATCGAAAATCGGAACATTGAAAATTTGGAAAAGCGAAAAACTGAAAAACCGAGAAAACGAAAGCTCGAAACCACGAACCAAAAACCTAAAACATCGAAAAATAAACATCAAAAAATAAAGTGAAATCGAGAAATCGAAAAGTCGAAAATCAAAGAACTGAGAAATCAAAATAGCCCAAAATGGAGAAATCCAAAAGTTCAAAATTTGGAAAATTGAAGAATTTAAAATAAAAAAATCCATAAATCGAAACACGGAAATTTCGATAAATCGAGAAATCGAAAAATTGAACAATCGGAAGATCAGCAAGTTTAGAAATCGAGAAAATTCAAAAACCATAATATCTAAAACTTAAAAAGTCGAAAAATTGAAAAATAAAAAAATCCAAGTACTAAATAAAAAATCGAGAAATCGAAAAATCAGACATTTTTAAAATTATTGAAAACTAAAAAAAATCCAGAAATCAAAATGTCAAAAAATCGAAAAATCTAAAATTTAGACGTTTGAAAAATTAAAAAACTGAAATATTCAAAAACTACAAAATCAAGAAATCTAAAAATCTAAAATTTAAATAATTGAAAAAATGAAAATCCGTGAAGTCAAAAAATCGGAAAACCGAGAAATCGAAAAATTCAAAATTGAAATATCGAAAAGAACTTAAAAATCGAGAAACTGAAAAATTCCAAAACTGAAATCACGAAAAACCGAGAAATCGATAAATCGAAACATCGAAAAATCGAAAAACCGACAAAACGAAAAATCGAAACAACGAATCAAAAACCTGAAACATCGAAAAAACGAAACATCAAATGACCAAGACAAATCGAGAAATCCAAAAGTCGCAAAAGCGAAGAACTAGGAAATCGAAATAACCTAAAATCGAAAAGTTAAAAAAATTGGAAAATTTTAAATAAAAAAAAAAACGAAAAATCGAGAACTCGAAAAATTTTATAAAGCAGGAATTTTAAAAGGCGAAAACATTTAAAAACCGTGAAATCTAAAAGCGAAAAGTCCAAGAATTGAAAATCGAGAAAGCGAAACATCAAAAAACTGAAAAATCTAGAATTTAAAACAATCAAGAAATCGAAAAATTAAACTTTAAAAACACAAAAATTACAATATCTTGAAGAATCGAAAAATTAAAAAATGGAGGAATCAAAATTTCAAAAAATCGAAAAATCTAAATTTTAGAAATTCGAAAAATTGGAAAATAGAAGTATCGAAGAACAAAAAAATCGAGAAATCTGAAATTCCAAAGTATTAAAAATTGAAAAAATAAAATACCGAAAAATTTGAATAATCGAAAGACTGAAAAATTTAAATATCGAAAAATTGAAAAATCGAAGAAAATTTGAAAAATCGAAAAATTGAAAAGTCGAGAAATCGAAAAATCGGAAAATCGAAAACTGAAGAATCAAAATGCTGAAAAATCCCAAAACTGAAATATCCAAAAATTGAAAAATCGAAGAAAATTTGAAGAATCGAGAAATCAAAAAGTCGAAAAATGGAAAAACCAAAAACCTGAAAAATCGAAAAATTAAAGAACTTAAAAATCGAGAAGTCGAAAACTCGAAAAATTGAAGAATCGAACTACTGGAAAATCCCAGTACTGAAATATCGAAGAAAATTTGAAAAATCAAGAAATCAAAAAATCGAAAAATCGAAAAATCAAAAACCTGAAAAATCGAAAAACTGAAGAATTGAAAAAGTGGAAAATCATAAAACTGAAATATCGAAAAATTGAAAAATCGAATAAAATTTGAAGATTCGAGAAATCAAAAAGTCAAAAAATGGAAAAACAAATAACCTGAAAAATCGAAAATTTAAAGAACCTAACAACTGAAAAATCGAAAAATTAAACAACTTAAAAACTGAAAAATCGAGAAGTTGAAAACTCGAAAAATTGATGAATCCGAAAAATCGAAAAACTGAAGAATTGAAAAACTGGAAAATCGCAAAACTGAAATACCGAAAAATTGAAAAATCGAAGAAAAGTTGAGAATCGAGAAATGAAAAAGTCGAAAAATCGAAAAATTAAAAACCTGGAAAATCGAAATACTGAAGAATTGAAGAACTGAAAAATCATGAAATCGACAGGTCGAAAGCTTGAATAGTTGAAATATCGAAGATAATTTGAAGAAACGAGAAAACCAAAAGTCGAAAAATCGAAAACCTGAAAATTCGAAAAATTTAAGAATTGAAAAACTGAAAAATCCCAAAACTGAGATATCGAAAATTTGAAGAATCGAGAAATCTAAAACCTGAAGACTCAAAGAATCAAAAAATCGAAATACCAAAAATTGATGAGTTGAAACATCGCAAAAAATTAAAAATCGAAAAACTATAAAACTGAAACTTTGAAAAATTGTCAAATCAAAAAATGAATAAACGAAAAAAAACGAAAAATCCCCAAACTGCAATTTCGAAAAATTTAAAAATCGAAGAAAAATTAAAGAATCGAAAAAATAAAAAATGCCAAAACTGAAACATCGAAATAACGAGAAATCAAAAAGTAGAAAAATCGGAAATTAAAAAAATCAAAAAATTGATAAATCATAAACCGGAAAAATGGAAAAATTGTAGAATCGAAAACTGAAAAATAGAAAAGTCGCGAAATCGAGCACTCGATAAATCAAGAAATCAAACTGTCTAAAAATCAGAAAACTGAAAAGTCGAAAAATTAAAAAATCAAAAACCCAAAAAACCGAAAAATTGAGGAATAGAAAAATCGAGAACAAAGTCGAAAAATCAAAAATCGATTAATTGAGGAATTGCGAAATTGAAAAATCAAAGATTTGGAAACGTCAAAAACTGATAAATTGAAAGATCGAAAAATTGAGAAATCGAAAATTTGAAGAATCGGAAAACTGAAGAATTAAACCTGAAAAATCTCAAAACTGAAAAATCGAAAAATTGAAAAATCGGGGACAAATCGAAGAATCGACAAATTAAAAAGTCCTGAAACTGATACATCAAAAATTGAAGTCGAAAAATCGAAATTTAAAAATCAAAATATTGACTAATCAGAAACCTGAAAAATCAAAACATTGAAGAAATTCAAAAACTGAAAAATCTAAAATCTTCAAAAATCGAGAAATCGAAAAATTGAAAAACTGAAGAATTAGCAATTTAAAAAAAAAACGGAAAAATTAAAAAACCGTAAATCTAAAAGCGAGAAGTCGAAAAACTTAAAAATCTAAAACTCAAAGTCGAAAAATGGAAAAATAGAAAAATCGAAACATCTAAAATTTTAAAAACAAAAAAGCTAATAAATCTTGAAGAATCGAAAAATTAAAAAATGGAAAAACCAAAATTTCAAAAAATGGAAAAATTGAAAACTTTGAAATTAAAAAATAAATCGAAAAATCGAAACATCGAAATTTCGGTTAATCGAGAAATCAAAAAATTGACAAATCGGAAATCTTAAAAATCGAAAAAATTAAAAAACCGTAAAATCTAAAAGCGAGAAGTCGAAAAACTGAAAATCGAGAAAGCGAAACAGTAAAAAACTGAAAAATCTAAAATTCAAAGTCGAAAAATGGAAAAATCTAAAATTTTAAAAACAAAAAAGTTAAAAAATCTTGAATCAAAAAATTAAAAAATGGAGAAATCAAAATTTCAAAAGATCGAAAAATTGAACCTAAAATTTAGAGATTCGAAAAATTGGAAAATAGAATTATCAAAAAACTGAAAAATCGAGAAATCAGAAAATCTAAAATTTTAAAAATTGAAAAAACTATATATCGAAAAATTTGAAGAATTAAAAAACTGAAAAATCGAAAACTCGAAAAATTGAAGAACGGAAATACTGAAAAATCTCAAAACTTAGATATCGAAAAACTGAAAAATTGAGGAAATTTTGAAGAATCGAGGAATCGAAATATCAAAAACTGATAACTTGAGACATCGCAAATCGTGTATTAAAAACCGAAAAATTGTAAAACTGAAGCATTGAAAAATTGAGAAGTCGAAAAATTTAAAAATGGAGAAATCGAAAAATCCCCAAATTGCAATATAGAATAATTGAAAAATCAAAAAAAACTGAAGAATCTAAAAATTAAAAAACTCCAAAATTGAAACATCAAAATAATGAGAAATCAAAAAATTGAAAAATCGAAAAATTGAAAAATCAAACAACGAAAAAATCGAAAAACTGAAGAATTGAAAACTGAAAAATCGAGGACAAATGAGAGTAATCGAAAAATTGAAATGGAAAATCAAAATTTAAAAATCAAAATATCTCTACAATAACACACCACAATGCAATTAAGTGATCATTTATTTGCGTCAGTTTACAAACTTAATTAGTTGGTCTTGAGTAAGTTCTTAATGTCGGTGAGTCGCGACTTAATCTCCGGCTGCGTATCGCTGGAAATATCGTCCAAGACTTCGTCGAACATGCGTCGGAGTTTGAGAAACTCGTCTTCGATTTGGCGTTCTTGGAGCTTTTTACCCATACAGAACACCACATTGAGAGCTTCTTTACGCAGTCTCGTGTGTTTGGATATTCCGAGCGAGTATCTGATCGCTATGACTATATTATCGACGATTTTCCCTAATGTTTTCTTGTCAGAGTCGTCCAAATCGTCGTTTAATAAAATTAATTTGTCGACGTAGTTGTACAACGCTGAAACGACGCTCACTTGCACCGACCGGGTAATTCGGGGTAGACACTCCACGCAATGTTCCACGAACATTTCCCCGTACTTATCCTGGGTCGTTTTACTCCTCTCCGGCCACGTTTTCCCCAAAGTTTCGTACGCGGTTTCCTTCAACTTGATGTTCTTCTCCCGCTTTTTGGCGATTTCCTCCGACGACGCGTCTTCATCCTCCTCCTTGCTCGACTTATCCACCAAAATCGACTGTATGATCCCGTAAACTTCGTCAAACTTATCCACCTCCAGCGCGGCCAAGATATTCCCCAAAGACTCCAACGCGTCAATCTTGTACCCGATTTCGTCCTTGCGACTTTCTTTAATCACTGCTTCGATAATTAAATCCACGTTCACGCTCTGATCCTCCCTGATGGAATCCCTGCAAAACGCGATTAAACCAAAAACTTACCCCCGCGTCCCACTTACTTGCAATTCGAACAAATACTAGCCAGAGCTTTCAATAATTTATCTTTTCCATTCCACGTCCGACCAGATAACCCATTTATTAAAATATTTATCAAGGCATTCCGATGTTTGCCGTCCATAGTCGTACCTAATTTGCTTGCAACTGTCGAAACGGCACTGGCAGCCTGATTCCTTCGAATTAGATTATGAAATTGAGAGAGCTTTTACTACCGACCTGGGCCTTCATCGTCCACGACGGCGATTCGAGGGCGGTTTTCAAAATGTTGCAGATGACTTCGATGTTCTGCCGGATCCCGGTTTCCGTGCCGGGACTGTGCTCCGACCAGATCTCGGTCCATACCTCCAGGGTGTTCTCGGTCTCGGGGGTCTTCTCGCAGTGCATCGCGAAGAAGACGAGCGGGAGGAGGACGTCGGAGTGCGATTTTAGCACTTCTTGGTTGTGGATGCCGATGGACTGGATGGTGTAGGCGCACGCAGAACGGATCGAATCGTCTGAAAGCACGCATACCTTGTTTTAGACTCGTACTACGCAAACTAGTTTGTGCTGCCTTTTACAAATATTGTGTATACTATTGTGATACCTTCTCGTTCGAAATACCAGTGTTGCAACTTGGCGAATAGCTTCTCCAAGCTTGACTCCTTAGCAGCTGAAACTAAGTGACCAATGGCGCTGGCGTAGTGTTTACGAATAGCGGAATTTCGGTCGGTTAAACCGTTTACCAGTGCTGCCAACAATTTCCCTGAAACTACAATTAAGCCTCTTCTTCAGGATTAAAAAACACTATACCTGTGTAGGGTTGCAAATCCTGCCCCATTTGGACAACCAAAAGAGTAACAAAGTGGGTGCAAGCAATTCTGGTCCCTAAACCAACCGAACCCTTCAATAATTCGACAACTTTAGGGACAAGTTCTTCCAGAATTGACGCATCGGCATACTGGAGGCTCTAAAAACGAAACCATTTCCTAAATCTGTGATTATAGTTAGAGAGCGGATTATATGCAATTTGAACGTCCCGTATTTAAAACCGGGGACAATAAAATTTATTTGATTTCCGTTTAGCGAAAGTCTAAAACATCTAGTTTTTCTAGTATTTTTCTGAAAATTTGCTTGCTGTAATTTGATTTATTAAGGTCGTTTGTCGTAAGTCACGTAAGTGTTGAAAATTAAATAAAATATCGAAAAATTGAAGAATCAAAATATTGAAAAATCTTGAAATCGAAATATCAAAAAACGAAAAATTGATAAATCGGAAAATTTAATCGAGAAACTGAAAATTTCCAAAACTAAAATGTCGAAAAATTGAGAATTCGAAACAACGAATCAAAAACCTGACACATCGAGGAACGAAACATCAAAAGATCGGGAGAAATCGAGAAATCGAAAAACTGAGAACATAAGATTAAAAAGAAAGCTAAACTATGAAAAATTTGAAACAAAAAAAAATCGATAAAGCACAAATTCGAAAAATCGAAAGATCAGAAATTTTGAAAATCGAGAAATTGAAACATCAAAAAACTGAAAAATTTGAAATTTAAAAAATCGAAAAATTGAAAAATCGAAGAACTAAAAAATCGAGATATCGAAAAATCCAAAATTTAAAAAATTGAAAATTAAATAAAATATCGAATAATTGAATAAAAAAACTGAATAATCCAGAAATAAAACATCAAAAAATCGAAAAATTTAATCGAAAAACTGAAAATTTCCAAAACTGAAATGACGAAAAATTGAGAAATCGAAACAACGAATCAAAAACCTGACACATCGAACAACGAAACATCACAAGATCGGAAGAAATCGAGAAATCGAAAAACTGAGAACATGAGATTAAAAAAAAGCTAAAAATTGAAAAATTTGAAATAAAAAAAAATCGATAAAGCACAAATTCGAAAAATCGAAAGATCAGAAATTTCGAAAATCGAGCAAATTAAAAAACCGTAAAATCTAAGTCGGAAATCGAAAAATTGAAAGATCGAGAAATTGAAACATCAAAAAACTGAGAAATTTGAAATTTAAAAAATCGAAAAATTGAAAAATCGATGTATGTACTAAAAAATCGAGATTTCGAAAAATCCAAAATTTAAAAAATTGAAAATTAAATAAAATATCGAATAATTGAAGAATCAAAAAATTGAAAAATCCGGAAATAGGATCATCAAAAAATCAAAAAATTGAATCGAAAAATTGAAAAATCGAAGATCTAAAAAATCGAGATATCGAAAAATCCAAAATTTAAAAATTGAAAATTAAATAAAACATGGAATAATTGATGGATCACAAAATTGAAAAATCCAGAAATAGAAACATCAAACAATCGAAAAATTAAACCGAAAAACTGAAAATTTCCAAAACTGAAATGATGAAAAATTGAGAAATCGAAACAACGAATCAAAAACCTGACACATCGAGCAATGAAACATCAAAAGATCGGGAGAAATCGAGAAATCGAAAAACTGAGAACATGAGATTAAAAAGAAAGCTAAAAATTGAAAAATTTGAAATGAAAAAAAATCGATAAAGCACAAATTTGAAAAATCGAAAGATCAGAAATTTCGAAAATCGAGAAAATTAAAAAACCGTAAAATCCAAGTCAGAAATCGAAAAATTGAAAGATCGAGAAATTGAAACATCAAAAAACTGAAAAATTTGAAATTTAAAAAATCGAAGAACTAATAAAAAGTCGAGATATCGAAAAATCCAAAATTTAAAAAATTGAAAATTAAATAAAATATCGAATAATTGAAAAATCAAAAAATTGAAAAATCCAGAAATAGAAACATCAAAAAATCGAAAAATTGAATCGAAAAACTGAAAATTTCCAAAACTGAAATGACGAAAAATTGAGAAATCACAAAATCGAAACAACGAATCAAAAACCTGATACATCGAGAAACGAAACATCAAAACTGAGAAATCGAGAATAGAAAATTAAAAATTAAAAAATTTAAAACACAAAAAAAACCGATAAAGCACAAATTCCAAAAATCGAAACATGGAAATTTCGATAAATCGAGAAATCGAAGAATCAGAAATTTTGATAATCGAAAAAATTAAAAAATCTGAAATTAAAAATGGAAACAACGAATCAAAAACCTGATACATAGAGAAACGAAACATCAAAACTGAGAAATCGAGAATAGAAAATTAAAAATTGAAAAATTTAAAACAAAAAAAAATCGATAAAGCACAAATTCCAAAAATCGAAACATGGAAATTTCGATAAATCGAGAAAAAATTAAAAAATCTGAAATTTAAAAAGCCGAAAAATTAAAAAATACAAAAATCGAAGAACTAAAAAATTGAGAAATCGAAAAACCTGACATTTTAAAAACTGAAAACTTAAAAAAACGATAATCAAAATATCAAAAAATCGAAAAAATTAAAAATCTAAAATTTAGAAGTTCGGAAAATTAAAAAATACGACATATCGAAAAACCGAAAAATCAAGAAATCTAAAAATCTAAAATTTTAAAACTGAAAAATTCAAATCACGAAAAATCGGAAGAATCAAGAAATTGAAACATCAAAAATTCAAAAAATTAAAAAACTGGAAAATTGAAAAGTCCAAAAATCGAGGAATCGAAAAGGCGAAACATCGAAAATTTAAAAAACTGAAAAATCGACAAATCAAAAAACTGAAAAATCCAAAAATCGAGAAGTCGAAAAACCAAAAATTGATAAATTGAAGCGTCGTAAAAAATTAGAAATCGAAAAATGAAAAAATCGTGAAATCGGAAATTTAAAGAAATGAATTGAAGAACCAAAAAATTAAAAAATCGAAAAATTTCAAAATCCTTAGTTTTAGGATCGAAATAATGAAAAAACGGGAAATTGAAAAATCGAAAATTAAAAAAATCGAAAAATTAAAAAATCAAAAACCTGAAAAATTGAGGAATTGGAAAACTGGAAAACCCAAAATTTTGAAACGTCAAAAATTAATAAATCGAAACATCGGTAAATTTAAAAACCGAAAAATTTGGAAAATCGACATACAGAAGAATCGAACAAAAATTGAAGAATCCATAAATTAAAAAGTGCCGAAACTGAAACATCAAAAAATTGAAATGAAAAACTGAAAAATCGAAAAATCAAAAAGTCGAAAATCCAAAACAACGATTAATCAAGCAATTGAGAAAATCCAAAATCGATAGTAATTTATAAACTTGTAAAATTAATAAATTGAAAAATCCAAAAATTTAAAAATTAAAAAATTGAAAAATCGAGAAATCGAAAAGTCAAAAAACTGAACATTTAAGAATTGAAAAGGCAAAAAATAAAAAAATTGAAGAATCGAAATACTCAAAAAAGCAGAAATCGAGTAGTTCAAAAATCAAAAAATAGAGAAATAGAGAAATTGGGAAATCAAAAAGTCGAGAAATAAAAAATTGATAAATTGAAACATCGCAAAAAATTAAAAATCGAAAAATTTAAGAATCGAAAAATTGAAGAATTGAAGACTCGAAAAATTAAAAATCCCAAAACTGAAACAACCAAATAATGAGAACTCAAAAAACTGAAAAAATCGAGATATTAAAAAGTCGAAAAATCGATAATTAAAAAAATCGAAAAATTGAGGAATTGAAAAACTGAAAAATCTAGAAAGCGTTTCATCGAGAAATTGTGAAATCGAAAAATCCAAAATTTAGAAACAAAAATTGATACATTTCAAACATCGAAAAATTGAAAAATAGAAAATTTGAAAAATCCAAAAACTGAAAAATCGAAGAAAAATTGAAGAATTCAAATATAAAAAATCCCCGAAAATAAAACATCGAAAAATTGAATTGGAAAATTGAGAAATCAAAATATTGAAAAAAAAAAACGATTAATCCAAATCGAAAAACCAAAACAACGATTAATCAAGCAATTGAGAAAACCCAAAATCGATAATAATTTATAAACTTCAAAGATTAATAAATTGAAAAATCGAAAAATTTAAAAATTATGAAATTGAAAAATCGAGAAATCGAAAAGTCGAAAAATTAAACATTTAGGAATTGAAAAGTCAAAAAATCAAAAAATTGAAGAATCGAAATACTGAAGAAACCAGATATCGAGTAGTTCAAAAATCGAAAATTTAAATGAAAAATCAAAACCTGAAAAATCCAAAAATTGCTTTGAAAAACAGAAAAATAGAGAAATAGAGAAGTTGGGAAATTCAAAAGTCGAGAAATCAAAAATTGATAAATTGAAACATCGCAAAAAATTAAAAATCGAAAAATTGTAAAATCAAAGAAAAATTGAAGAATCGAAAAATTAAAAATCCCAAAACTAAAACATCGAAATAATGAGAACTCAAAAAACTGATAAATCCAGAAATTGAAAAGGCGAAAAATTGATAATTAAAAAAATCGAAAAATCGAAAAATCAAAAACCTGAAAAATCGAAAAATTGAGGAATTGAAAAACTGAAAAATCGGGAAACCATTTAATCGAGAAATTCTGAAATCGAAAAATCGAAAAAAATATTAAAACTGAAACAACGGAAAATTGGGAAATCGAAAATTTGAAGAATTCAAAAACTTAAGAATCGCAAATTTTTAAAAAATCCCAAAACTGAAAAATCCAAGAAAAATTGAAGAATCCAAAAATTAAAAAGTCCCGAAAGTAAAACATCGAAACATTGAGGTGAAAAAATCAAAAATTAAAACCCGAAATGAAAAATCGAAAAATTGAATTGAAAAACTGAAAAATTGAGAACTCAAAAAGTTGAAAATCCAAAAAAAAACATTAATCGAGAAACTGAGAAAGCGAAAAATCGAAAATTTAGGGACGTCAAAAATTGCTAAATTGATAAATAGAAAAATTTTAAAATTAAAGAATAAAAAAGAAAAATGTGAAAAATCGAGAAATCGAAAATTCGAAAAACTGAAAAATCGAAAAATCAAAAACCTGAAAAACTGAAAAATTGAAGACTCGAAATACTGCAAAATCCCAAAACGGAAATACCAAAAAATTGAGAAACTGAAGAAAAATGGACGAATCGAAAAATTGAAGAATCCAGAAATCGAAAAGTTCAAAAATCGAAAATTTTAATGAAAAATCAAAAACCTGAAAAATCGAAAAATTGAATTGAAAAACAGAAAATAGAAATAGAGAAGTCGGCAAATCAAAAATTCGAAAAACCAACAATTGATAAATTGAAACATCGCAAAAAATTAAAAATCGATAAATTTAAGAATCGAAAAATTGAAAAATTGTAAAACTGAAACATTGAGACATCGAAAAATGAAAAAAGAAATCGGAAATTTGAAGAAACGAGAAATTGAAGAATCGAAAAATTAAAACTGAAACATCGACATCATGAGAACTCGAAAAACTGACAAATCGACAAATTGAAAAGTCGAAAAACCGAACAATAATAAAATCGAAAAATTGAAAAATCAAAAACCTGAATAATTGAAAAATCGAAAAATTGAGGAATTGAAAAACTGAAAAATCGAGAAATCGGTCAATCGAGAAAAAAGTCGAAAAATCAAAAAAGAGAAATTGTGAAATCGAAAAATCCAAAATTTAGAAACGTCAAAAATTGACACATTCAAACATCGGAAAATCGAAAAATCTTAAAACTGAAACAACGGAAAATTGAGAAATCGAAAATTTGAAAAATGCCAAAACTCAAAAATCGAATAAAATTGAAGAATCCAAAAATTAAAAAGTCCCCAAACTGAAACATCGAAAAATTGAAGTGAAAAAACCGAAAATTAAAAATCGAAATATTGAAAAATCGAAAAATTGACATGTAAAACTGAAAAATCGACATAATCAAAAAATCGCAAAACCACAAAAACCATTAAACGATAAAACGAAAAATCGAAAATTTAGAAACGTCAAAAATTAACAAATTGAAAAATCGAAAAATTTAAAAATTAACGAATTGAAGAATCGAGGAATTCAAGAATCGAGAAACTGTAAAATTACAGCAATGAAATATGGATAAACTGAAAATTGAAAAACTGAAAATCGAGAAATTGAAAAATCGAGAAATCGAAATGTCGAAAAATTGAAAATTTAAAAATTGAAGAATCGAAAAACAGAAGTCGAGAAATCAAAAAAACGAAAAACTAAAAATTGATAAACTGAAACAAAACAAAATTAAAAATCGCAAAATTTAAGAATCGAAAAACTGTAAACCTGTATTGGAAAATTGAGAAATCGAAAAATGAAAAAAGAAATCGGAAATTTGAAGAAACGAGAGATTGAAAAATCGAAAAACTGAAAAATCCCGAAACTAAAATATCGAAAAATTGAAAAATCGAAGAAAAATTGAAGAATCGAAAAATTAAAAATCCCAAAACTGAAACATCGAAATAATGAGAAATTGAAAAACTGAAAAATCGAAAAATTGAAAAGTCGAAAAATCGAAATTAAAAAAATCCAAAAATTGCAAAAATCAAGAACCTTAAAAATCGAAAAATTTGAGGAATTGAAAAACTGAAAAATCGAGCAATCGAAAAAAAAGTCGAAAAATCAGAAAATCGATTAATCGAGAAATTGTGAAATAAAAAACTCCAAAATTTAGAAACGTCAAAAGTTGATGAATTCAAACATCGAAAAATTGGAGAATCAAATAATTGAAGAATCTAAAAATTGAAAAATCTTGAAACTGAAACAACGGAAAATTGAGAAATCGTAAATTTGAAGAATCGAGAAACTGAAGAATCAAAAATTTGAAAAACCTAAACACTGAAAAATCGATGAAAATTGAAAAATCCAAAAATTAAAAAGTCTCGAAATTGAAACATCGAAAAATTGACGTGGAAAAATCGAAAAATTGAAAAATCAAAAACCTGAAAAATCGAACAATTGAAAAACCGAAAAATCTAAAATTGAGAAACATCAAAAATTGATAAATTGAACATCGAAGTGAAGAATGGAGAAGCTGAAGAATCAAAAAATTGAAAAGTAAAAAACTGAAAAATCTCAAAGCTGTAATATCGAAAAATATCTATAATTTGTTTTTTTTCCAAAAATCACGATGTCTACTACAAAAATTCAAGACGGTTTCATAAACCACAAGTTCACGACTATGTCACTTTAAAGAGGAAATTATTATATTATAGAAGACAACAAAATTTCACAATGCAAAATTTATAAAAACATCTGACTGTTAATTGTATGAACAAAAAAAGTATATATGTATATTTCGCAAAAATTTTGTGCATATAAATCCGCCCTTTAACACCACCCAGCCACCCACCTTCGACACCGTCTCCGTCGTGAAATGCGACTTCGCGAACGACGCCCTCGCACTATCCACAGCCTCCTGCGCCTGACTCTGCGCCCCCAGCATAGTACTCAAATACGACAACTTAGTCGACTCCAACTCCCCCGTAGCTTGCAACAGCGCCGGTATAAGCTTGGGCAAAAACGGCTTCAACTGCGCCCCCGCCGACCCAACAAGCTCTGAAATCGTCTGCAAACTAATCAACCGGATTTCAGCCACAGCGTTAATGATCCCGTTATTCAGCAACGGCGGCAAAATCGCCTCCACCATTCTCACCCCAGCCTTGCCCTGCCCGCTATCGCAACCCCTAATACACAACTAAAAAACCTCCATAAGTGGGTTACAAACACAAACTATGCACCATACTTTACTCAAAACGCGCGCGGTTTTGGTCGCCGTGAGCCGAGTGGCTTCATGGTGGTCATCCATCACCCGAAACAGCTTCGTCCATAGCTCGTCCATGGAATTAACACAGTCGTGGATGGAGCGGTTCCCGGAACCCTTTAGAAAATCCTGAAGAGCCAGACAACACGATTGTCGCACTCGGTAGTGGTGGGAATTGATATTTTCCAACAAGTCGGCCAGGATTTCGTCGTAGTATTGATCCAGGGTTTTTTGTGGTTCGGCGACCAGTACTCTCCAGATGTTGTGCATGGAGGCTTGGATATTGGGGGTTGGGTCAAACTGGTAGCGGTACAACTTGGGAATGATTAGAGGTAGGTGGACCTTCAAGTCTTCGCCACACCTTTCCGCGATGGACGAAAACCCAAAAGCTGCCCCTTTTTTGGAATTCCAAATGGCGTTGTGATTCGCTAGGTGCATGAACTGGTAAATCAAGTCAGGTTTGTTTAAATCGGACGCCAATGAACATAACTCCTTGTATGTAGTTAGGTTACCCCTTCAACAAATTATTAACACCAGTTTTCTTTAAAAAAAAAAAATAAAAGTACCCGGTTGGTGCGGATCCTAGTTGACCCTCTTCAAACAATTTCGTGTCACTGGTAACTTGAGTGACTTGTCGCGTTCCTGAAGTCAACTGTTTTACTAAAGCTTGTAACAGTTCTTCAGATTTGTAAGTATCATAAACCACACACAGTCCTTTGGAGGCTGCGTCTTGAACAATATCTACAACTTTGGTAGTACTAAGATTTTCAACCCGTTAGCCACTCACCGTTATTTTCACACAATAAGTCCATGAAGGTGTTCTGCAACAATTGCAACCTTTTACTAATGGGTTCTCTTTCGCCGCACCCTTTTAACACCGCTAGTAACCAAATGCAAGACGCTTGTTTGGAATTAGGGTGCAACTGATTGGCTAGTTTCAACAACTCGTCAAGCAGACACTCTAAATTGTCATCCATCATGGGTTCACTGGTATTGGGTACGTGGTTCTGTGGTAGTGTGGTCCACGGGTTACGCGCTTCGGGTGACCACACGCTCTGACAACACATCACCAAGGACTCCCCAATGGTAAAGTGCACCTCAACGTCTTTAGTGTCTTTCGCAGTGTTCAAAAAACCCTGAATCACTTCTTTGGTGTGTGGGAACTTCTCCCCTACACACAATAAACCCAGAGCTTTGGCCGCTTTTTCCCGGATTTTAGCCGACAACTTTGTGTTGTTCATGACGTCCATTAAGCGATTGACGACGTCCATTTTGGTTACGATGTCATTAGCAGGGCGCTTAGCATCCGGACTACCGATTTCTTTAGGTTTGCCGTCATCCAAAGGTAGAGGAGACCGGCGACCTAAAAGCCCGATGCTAGTACAAGCACCACCAGCCAATAAAGGGTTCTGTTGTTTTAAAAACGCGGCCAAAGTGGTCACTGATTTTTTATAAGTATCGCGACTTATCGGTCCGTCCGCCATTTTGGTTTCGAGACAGGTACCGATACCCAAAATGGCGCCGTGTTGCGACTCCAAATTTTTGCCCTCTGTTTGTTTAAATAAATAACTAATGGCACCATCAAAGTCAGTAGTTGACGAGCTAAGTACTAGAGAGTATAACACTGAAGCGTATTCTCGAACTTCTTCTTTAGTCGAGTTTAACTGATCACGTATCCATTGTAGATCTTTGGAAACGAACGACCTTAATTGAGGGACACAGCCAACGATTTCAACCATGCAGCTAAGAGGTTCCATGGCTATAACAACAATCATGAGAGTCCCTAAATCCGTCTTACTTAAGTACTTACAAGGACTAGCTATAAGTAGTTGTCTAACTAGAGATGTATACTGAAGCAAGGGATTGCTCTCAATGGGTTTACTATCGTCAAACAAACCCCGCAGATACTCAGCTATAACCGGGGTGTGTTCACACGGGTGATTTAAAATATCTCGAGTCAAAGGAACATTTAAATTGCGAACCAAACACAACCGCAGATATATAAGTATCTATAAAACAACAATTAATTCAACGTTTCGGCCACAACACTAACAACCTCAGTATAAGTACGAATATCAAACGCTAAAACGTGATTTCCAATAGTAAATCGTTTCGACGCGTCTTTAGCCAAAATCTCGGACTCGCTGAACACATAACGCACGATTTCCGAGAAGTGAGGCGTAACGATTTTGTTCTTTTTGGATAAATCGACGTCGTTTTTGCGTGACGTGCCATAAAGGGCTTTGAATGCCTCAGCTGACACGTCGTCTTTGCTGCAACGTAATTTTAAACACGGCTTTTATACCTCACACTCAGTGTTACCCGTCTCCCGTCAACAGTAGCAACAAGTACTTGGATGGCACGTGCTCAGGTGGAAATATCGTAGCTAAAGTCCTCACCGCTGTGAACCTCACCATGGGTTCCTCCGACGTCATTCGAAACTTGATCAGTGCAAAAAGGATATTCAAGCGTCCGTCTTTATCGGCTTCTTCTAAGCAAACGTCGTACTTGTAAGCCAAAATGAGACTTAAGAGGCCTTCACGGATTTGTAGTTTCAAATCGGGATTGGCGGTTTCTAAGTTTTTGAAAAACGTCTCAATGAGGTTGATGTCGTGGTACACGATTTTGGGGAACCGTTGGGCGAGAGTACCGATTAAAACGTAGGCTTGGCCTTGGTGGACGTCTTCGCCTTCTTTGATCAATTTATGCATCCCGGATAGCAAAACTGGGGCTACTTTACTTAGTGGACCTTCGTCAGCACTATACAAAGACACTTGTAAAACGTATACTCGAAACGTAAGTACTTACAATCTGACAAGGTTCATTGTAAAGTTCAGCGCTAGAGTTTTAAGCCTCGTGTTCGTGTTAGTACCATACAACGAATCAAAAATCACTTGGATGGAAGCCGGGAAAGCGAACGCTTTTCCCGTTATTCTGCCCAAGTAAGTTAGGAGTTTTAAGCGTATTCTTGTGCTAGCGGGGGATTTGATTTGGTCCTCTTTCACGTTTTTGGATTGGGTACCTAAGAACATTGTAAAGAGTGGCATGACGACGCTCAGGGAGCCCCAGTCGACTGATCTGGAAAAAATATTCAACCGTCGGTACCAACTAAATTAGAATGGCGTACCCGACTACTTTTTTCAGTTCCATGTCCGCCAAGTTGGCGACACTGAAACGGGTGTCGGATGCCGCTACCACTAGGTGGATTAGGATGTCTTCGTCCTTGAACACTCCGTGCGCCAGGAAGCGCACTATGCCTAGTTTGATCTGGAATTAATTTTTAGAACTAAAATGTGTACGAAATTTGTGTGCCAATGTGGATTTTTTGTCCGTCGTCCAAATGATTAATAGGCAACCAATAATACAAATGTTTTAAGTTTCTTGTTTTCAAAAAAGTCTACATATATCAAGAAAAAAAAGGAAAAATATAAGCCCCGCCCACCCACCCTATCTCAATTGTAAAGATTTTTTTTATTCGTCGTGAGTCAAGAGGGCGGAGCTTAGCTGCAACTTTAATTTTTAATTTTTCAATTTTTCACTTTTGGGTTGCTTCTATTTTTTTAATATTTTGATGTTTCGATTTGTCGATTTGTCATTTTTCGATTTCCCAATTTCGCGGTTTTTCGACTTTTTAAATTCTACATGTTTCAAGCTTTCGTTTTTTATAAAGTTTCGATTTCTCAATTTTTTCCTTTTTCGATTTTTTGACATTTCGATATTTCGATTTTTCGGTTCTTCAATTTTTCAATCTAATTCGGTTTCTCGATTTTTCAAAATTTTAAATTTTTCCACTTTTTGATTTCTAAATTTTCGATTTATCGCTTTGTGAATTTTGAGTTGCTTCATCACAATGAACATGGGGTGGGTGGACGGGGTTTATATTTTGCATCAAAACTCAAAAACATGTTTTTAATTCCTTGTAAGAAATACGTGTTTTGCAGTTAAGCTCCACTCCCTTGGTTCACAGCAAATAAAAAAAATCATCACAATTGAGATAGGGTGGGTAGGCGGGCTTAAGTTTCTTGTTGTGAAAAGATGGTTATGTATATTAAGAAAAAAAAGCCAAAATATAAGTTCCGCCCATCCGCCCTGTCTCAATTCTGATGATATTTTTTTCGTCGTAAGCCGAGAGGCGAAGCTTAATTGTAAAATCCTTATTTTTCTACGAGAAAATACCATACGAAATATGTTCTTAAGTAATCATATTATACAAAAAAAAAACAAAGACTTTAAATTTCACATTTTTCAAGCTTTGGTTTTTTATGTTTCGATTTCTTCATTTTTTCCTTTTCCGACTGTCTGACATTTCGATATTTCGATTTTTCGAGTTCTTGGTTTTCCATTTTTCGATTTTGAAAATTTTTGATTTTGCAATGTTTTAATTTTAATTTTTTTTTTTTGATTCTTCAACTTTTCAATTTAATTCGGTTTTTCGATTTTTTTAAATTTTAAATTTTTCAACTTTTTTGATTTCCAATTTTTCGATTTTTCACTTTTTGGATTTTAGGTTGTTTCTATTTTTTAATATTTTGATGTTCCGATTTCTCTATTTCCCAATTTGTCGGTTTTTCGACGTTTCGCCTTCTGGTTTTAATTTTTCGACTTTTTACATTTGAGATTTTTAAATGTTTCGATTTTTCAGTTTTTCAATTTTTCGATTTTTTTTTTATTTTACATTTTTCAATTCTTCGATTTTACGATTTTGTGATGATTTTGTCGATTTTTCAACTTTACAATTTTTCGATTTTTCAGTTTATCAAGTGTCCGTTTTTCGGTTCTTTAAATTTTAAAATTTTCCGTTTTTAATTTTTCATTTTCTGACTTTAGAATCTTGTGCAGTTTGGATTCCTGGATCTTTTGTAAATTTTTCAATCTTGAGATGTTTCCAATTCTCGATTTTTAATTTTTCGATTTCGATTTGTAAGAATTGTAGTTTTGGGTTTTTTCAATTTCTAATTCTTCAGTTTTTCGACTTTTCCGATTTCCCGCTTTTTGAATTTTAAGCAGCTTCTATTTTTTAATATGTTGATGTTTCAATTTCTCCATTTTTCAATTTTTCGATTTCCCAATTTTCGGTTTTTCGATTTTTCGACTTCTCGCTTTTTCAATTTTTTTCACTTTTTACATAAATTTTAGATTTTCAAATGTCTCGATTTCCCGATTTTTTTTTTATTTTTCAATTTTTCAAATTTTGATGATTTTGATTTCTCGATTTTCCAACTTCTTAAGTTCTCGATTTTTCAGTTTTTCAATTTTTCGTTTTTCGGTTCTTTAAATTTTAAAATTTTCCGTTTTTAATTTTTCATTTTCTGACCTTTCGGTCTTGTGCGATTACGATTTCTCGATTTTTCGTTAATATTCCGATTTTCAATCTTTGGATGTTTCCATTTGTCGATTTTTCCATTTTTCGATTTCGATTTTAAAGCATTTTAGTTTTGGGATCTTTCAATTTGTAATTCTTTTTAATTTTTTATTTTCCGATTTTTTGCTCTTGGGTTGCTTCTATTTTTTAATATTTTGATGTTTCGATTTGTCGATTTTTCAATTTCCTAATTTTTCAATTTTTCGATTTCCCAATTTCTCGGTTTTTCGACTTTTTAAATTCTACATTTTTCAAGCTTTCGTTTTTTATATTGATTCGATTTTACAATTTTTTGCTTTTCCGATTTTTTGACATTTTGATTTTTCGAGTTCTTAGTTTTACATTTTTCGATTTTGAAAATTTTTGATTTTGCAATGTTTCAATTTTTTTTTTTTTTTTTTTTAATTTCTTGGTTTCTTAATTTTTTTGACATTTCGATTTTACGGTTTTTCGAGTTTTTTTAATTTTAAATTTTTCAACTTTTTTAATATTTTGATGTTCCGATTTCTCGCTTTTTTAATTTTTTCACTTTTTACATAAATTTTAGATTGTCAAATGTCTCGATTTCCCAATTTTTATATTTTTCCGTTTTTCAATTTTTTGATTTTTGATGACTGATTTCTCGATCTTTCAACTTTTAAATTTTTTTAGATTTTAAATTTTTCGTTAATATTTCGATTTTCAGTCTTTGCATCATTCCATTACCCGATTTTTCCATTTTTCAATTTCGATTTTAAAGTATTTTAGTTTTGAGATTACTCAATTTGTAATTCTTTTTTATTTTTTATTTTCCGATTTTTCGCTTTTGGGCTGCTTCTATTTTTTAATATTTTGATGTTTCGATTTGTCGATTTTTCAAATTCTACATTTTTCAAGCTTTCGTTTTTTATATTCATTCGATTTTACAATTTTTTGTTTTTCCGATTTTTGACATTTCGATATTTCGAGTTCTTGGTTTTCCATTTTTCGATTTTGAAAATTTTTGATTTTGCAATGTTTCAATTTTTTTTTTTTTTAATTTCTTGCTTTTTTTGACATTTCGATGTTTCGATCTAATTTGGTTTTTCGATTTTTTTTTTATTTTAAATTTTTCAACTTTATTAATTTCTAATTTTTCGATTTATCGCTTTTCGGATTTTGGCTTGCTTCTATTTTTTAATATTTTGATGCTCCGATTTCTGGATTTCCCAATTTGTTGGTTTTTCGCCTTCTCATATTTTCAATTTTTCGACTTTTTATATTTGAGATTTTTAAATGTTCCGATTTATCAGTTTTTCAATTTTTTGATTTTTTTTATTTTAGATTTTTCAATTCTTCGATTTACGATTTTTTGATGATTTTGTCGATTTTTCAATTTTTCAGTTTATCAATTTTCCGTTTTTCGATTTTTTAAATTTTAAAATTTTCCATTTTTAATTTTCCATTTTTCATTTTCTCAGTTTTCGATTAATTTTTCATTTTTCGATTTCGGTTTGTGGCCATTTAAGTTTTGGGTTTTTTCAATTTGTATTCTTCAATTTTTCGACTTTTCCGAGTTCTCGCTATTTGGATTTTAAGCTGCTTCTATTTTTTAATATTTAATTGTTTCGATTTCTCGACTTTTCAATTTTTCGATTTCCCAATTTTTCGTTTTTCGGTTTTTTAAATTTTAAAATTTTCCGTTTTTAATATTTTAATTTTTTACTTTTCGGTTTTGCGCGGTTTCGATTTTCAATCTTTGGATGTTTCCATTTCCCGATTTTTCCATTTTTCGATTTCAATTTTAAAGCATTTTAGTTTTGTGATCTTTCAATTTGTAATTCTTCAGTTTTTCGACTTTTCAATTTTTAATTTCTAATTTTCCGATGTTCGCTTTTTGAATTTTGTGCTTCTATTTTTTAAGATTTAGATTTTTCGATTTCTGGATTTTCAAATTTCTCGGTTTTTCGACTTTTCGCCTTCTCGCCTTTTCAATTTTTCGACTTTTTACATTTTAATTTTTTAATTGTCTCGATTTCCCAATTGTTTTGATTTTTCAGTTTTTCAATTAATAACTCCGAGAAATTAAAAACATGTTTTTGAGTATCGTGTTGTTCAAAGAATACAATGTATATTAAGAAAACAATAAAGCCAAAAATTAGACCACACCCATACCCGCCCCGATCTCAATTCTCAATTGTGATGAATTTTTCATTCGTTGTCAGATCAAGAGGCGGGGCTTAATTGCAAGATCCATATTTGTCTACAAGAATGTACCACTTTAAACGTGTTTTAAATTTCTTGTTCTGAAAAGACGACTGTGTATATTAAGAAAAACGGCAAAATATAAGCCCCGCCCACCTACCCTATCTCAATTGTGATTATTATTTTTAATCGTCGAGAGCCAAAGCGGAATTTAATTGTAAAATTCTTATTATTTATCTATAAGAAATTACCATCTATGACATGTTTTTAAGTAGATTATTATTCAAAGAATACTATGTACATATATTAAGAAAAAATTTAAACCAAAGATTAAGCCCCACCCATTTTCATTCGTTGGCAGACCTAGGGGCGGAGCCTAAATGAAAAATCCACATTTCCTTACAAAAATTTACCATTTTAAACGTGTTTTAAGTTTCTAAGAATAAAAAAATCATCACAATTGAGGTGGGGTGGGTGGGCGGGGTTTACATTTTGCCTTATTTTTTTAATATACACAATATTCTTTGAGCAACACGCTACTCAAACGTAAGTTTTTAATTTCTTATACTAAATAAGTATTTTGCAGTTAATCTCCGCCCTCTTGATTCACGGTAATTAAAAAATTCATCACAATTGAGATAGGGCGGGTGGGCGGGTTTACATTTTGCCTTGTTGTTTTAATATGTGTAGACTTATTTTCACAACATGAAACTTAAAATATGTTTAAAATGGAAAATTTGTATTAGGAAATGTCGATTTTGCAATTAGGCTCCGCCCCATAGCTAAAATATAAACGCAATGTCAACGGCAACGTAACGGCGAAAGCTAAAAGTACGTCAACCGCGAACGGCAACGTCAACGATAAGTTTATAAATCGACCTTTACCATTAGAAAAACCTAAATTTAATCCCACTGAAATTAATTTTACATTGGATACAAAATCTTCAAAAAAGTGAAGGCTGCAACCAACAATACACCATTGACTACCATACCTCTTCCAATTCCTCTGGCTTCAAGGGGTTATTCAACGTGATACGTTTAAAAGAATTGGGGCTCATGCAGGGTGGTACTGGCAGAGACACGTTCGCATTTCTTTGTTGCTGAGTGTCTGAAGTTTGAGGTGTCAACGCCCTGAAACCCACGACTCAGCAAACTTACTTAACCCACAAAACTGATTACCCATAAGGTAGCAACAGCATATCCAACAACATATCAAGCAAATGTTTAGCAATTTGGGGTTTCTCATTCAACCCAAACAACGTCGCCACCTTCTCAGGCTCAGTTGGTACTTTAACCTTCCCCAGCACTGATACAAGTAGCAATAAAATACTGTCCAAGTGAGCAACAGGTTTGTGTTCCAAAGCGTTTAAAACAACTGGCACTAATTCAGCTTGCTTTTCAAGAGGCAACCTCGGGAAACCCAATTTTATATAAATAATAGTAAAATTCTGAAAATGAATAGTCGTCAAAGTAAATTTGAGTTAAGTTAAAGACGTACAGTAACAAAAGAAGTGGCTGCAGGGTCTTGGTATTGCATCAAAAGGGCCTCAATAGGGAGCTGAATTTGGGGGCGCGTTTTCACTCTTTTATTAACGTGAATTAGGAGCTCCATCACCTAAAATTCGTGTTTAAAAGGGTTCAATGAATCACACAATGACTTTACTTTCTTGCGCACGGCTTCTTCCGGCGAAGCCAGTTTTAGAAGTACGGGGGTTAAAAACTTGGCGAGAAGATTCTGAAGCTGCTCGTCGGTGTCGGCGGACCCCAGACGCAGGAAAACCCGCTCCAGGAGCACTGAAACAAGACGATGACTTTCAAAAAAAAATTGCAAAATTAAAAACCAATATTTACACTATACTTTGTACGTAATCGTAGCTGCATTTACGTTTTTTATCGCGCGTTTTTATTATTTAATTATTGTACTTACTCAGCTCATTTGCAGTATCCGCCGTGGCCATGTTTATTTATTACGACCTGTCAAATGTCACACGTGAACAAACAAACTTTTCGACCCCTCAGTTGGTAGCACAAAGTCCCTAAAAAAAACATAAATTATTCAAGTTATTAGTCATTTAGCGCGTCTGTCACATGAATTATTAACCAGGCGGTTGTAACTTTTAAATCTCTATTGTTTAAATATTTTCCCACGGGTCGGACTTTTTAAAAAAATTAAACCAGTGGTCGTCATAGCTGCCAACCCAATTTTCCGTCCACGGGGCCATGACAGAAAATTCCCGCGTTTGACACCGAGACGCTGTAAATAAAATTTCGCATAATCTATGGGTTGAAAGTATTTTTTTAATTAGTAGAGTCGTTCGAACGGCCGCTTCAAAATGAACAGAATATTGGAATTAGTGCAGAGTGGCGATTTCGATCCCGTGGAGGAGTTTACCGGCAACAAGGACAAATTTTCGGAGGTTTGTTTGTAATTGATGTTGTAACACGAATAACTGTATTTTACGCAGGTGAAGACCGCGTTTGAAAACATCAGCAATAACTTGCCGAAACAAGTATGCATAAATTTTGTTTTAACGAAAATCGCACCAACTGTGTTTGATAAGAACGTTCCGAATGGCGTGAGGGACGAGGCGGTTGAAGTCGGTTTACACGTCCTCCAGTTCGTCAACATCGCGATTTTGACCACCAAAGAACAAGAAGAGGTGTTTAGTTCCATTGAGGAAGCGTAAGTATGTCGGGTTTCAACGAACAATTGCTAACTTGTTTGTTAAAGATACGTGAAAGTCGTCGGTGAGTTGCGCGACGGAAACTACTCCAACTGGGACAAACTATGGATATTTTTAATCAAACTGTGTAGTGATAGACTCCACGCAAAAATGGGGGTTGCGAATAAACTTTTAAGGGTTGTAGAAGTGGCTTTCCGGAACTCCACTTCCATAGAACAGAGATTAAAAGCATACGACTGTTGGGTTGAACTCATTAACAATAGTAGTTTAAACATGCAGCATATGTGCAGTGCGAGACAAATCAAACTGTTAGTGACCCCCATGAAAGCGAAATTTTCGAGAATGCCTGTTGTTATAATGAAACGTTGTGATACTTTTGTGTACTTGTTAGAAAAATTAGGAGATAAGGCGACTTTGTGTCTGCGGGAGTTCCTCGAGTTTTGTTTCGGCCCCTTTGATGAAAAGAACGACGCGGAAAAAATGAAACAAGGGAGAAGCGTTTCGGAAGTTTGCAATAAAAGCACCCTAGTGTTACTCGAGATTATTGGTAATTATTTTTTTAGTGAGGGATAAAAAATTGTATTTAAATTGTTTGGTTTAGGACATTCCCATAGCGATTCGGAAAATTGTTTAAAGAACGACGACCTCACTTTATATAAACCGTTAATTACGGACGATAATTTTCCTAGTTTTGCCGAAATCTTGATTAATTCTATTATGGAATGTTGTGTTTTGTTAAATGAGTGGAGTCAGGATGCGTCTACTAATAGTAGTGTAAGTTTTTTATTTTTAGTTGTTCCAGGTTTAATGTTGTTATATTTTCAGATTATTAAGTGCCTTTGGCGGTCTGTGCTTCAGTTCGTTCAAAAAAGCAAAGACGACGTGAAAAGGAGGTGCTACTTTCAGATTAATAATAGTCTAAGGAAGTTATCAGAGGTGTTATTATTTTTTTCTTGTTGTTGTGTATTTTTCACAAAGTATTTTTGTTTGTAGAGATCACACTACAATGATTATTTACACACGGTTTTGGGGAATTTAATTGAATTGTTGATCCAAGACGAAATGGCTGAAAAATTAAAAGAGACGGTGTTTGACGTGTCCATAAATTTACTACACCACTTTACTGATCCTTGGTATGACATCTTCATAGTCAATTTTACTTTATGACCGTTACATTTTAGCTCATTCAATTTGGATAATATTCAAAATTTTGTCACCTCATGCTTTGATGTTGAAAATGGTTCTAAATTCGACAAAATTGCGTCTAATTCGTTCAAAAATAACCTGAAATGCGAGAACTCGATTTTGTGTGAAGTCTGGTTAAAATGTAAAATTACGATAGTGCCTGATAATATTTCAAATTATGTTTGGCCAATTCACAACCTTGGAAATTTCGAAAATCTTGATGTATGCACTTTGTGCTATGTACGTCGTGAAAAAAAAGTAAATGTTTTTTTGTAGGTGTTAAAGTCAAAGTGGACCAAGTTGTACACAACAGAGTGTAAATCTGAAGGTGTTAAGTTGCTGCTAATGCAGAATTTGGAAAAATTGTTTTTGGACAACCCCCTACTGAGTTCTAATATTGTCCAGTTTTTGGAACTCATGTCGTCGGGGGAAACCAACCCTAGTAAAGATTTCGGTATGATTTTGTTATATTTTAAGGCGGTATCACTCAGCTTGGTTTGAAAAAATTGAAATGTCCTGTAAAAACGACAGAAACTGACTTAGGACGATAGTTTTTTTTTATTAAGAATCCTTATTAGACATACTTTGTCGCTCTTATATTAAAATTTGATTTTCAGTTCTGTTTTCTGTGTAAAAAAAAAGTAAAAACATGCACTTTCCTTGCTCTTGAAGTCCGGCATAACATACTCAGTTTTGTCAGATAATTGTAAGATTCGATTTAGAGATTTTTTGCTAATAACGCAGTAAAGTGATCCATCTGGCGAATGACTAATTTTGTTTTCTCGAAGTTTCTCGATTTTATATCACAATTTTTGGTTTCTTTATTTCTTTTATTTTTTTGTTGTTTCGATTTACAATTTTTTATTTATTCAATTTTTCAAATTTTCAGGCTTTGATTTTTCAATTCCATGATTTTCCACGTTTAAAATTTTTCAATTTGCGGATTTCCAGTCTTCCAATTTTTAAATTTCTTTAATTTTCAATATTTCGATTTTACAATACATATTTCTTTTTTTTTTTTCACTTTTTTTTTCTTCAAATTTTCATGTTTGATTTTCACTTTTGACATTTTTCAAGTTTTCATTATGTACTTTTTCGTTTTTCTTATTTTTGATTTTTCAATTTTACAGTTTCTTGACTTCTAAATTGTTGTTGCAATTTTTCGATATTACAGTTTCTCAGTTTTCGATTTTTCACATTCTCAGTTTTTAATTCCTTTATTTTCTGTTTTTTTTTCCGATTTTACAATTTTTCATTTGTTCAATTTTTCAAATTTTCAGACTTTGAATTTTCAGTTCGTCCATTTTCCAGTTTTTAAATTTTTCACTTTGCAGTTTTTGGATTTACAGTCTTCCGATTTTCCAATTTTTTCAATTTTACAATTTCTTGACTTTCAAAATTTTAAATTTTCGGTTTCCATCAGCTTTTCAATTTGACAATTTTTCAATATTACAGTTTTTCATTTTTCGATTTTTCAGTTTCTCAATTTTTAATTTTTCCCTTTTCCAATTGTTTGTTTTTGATTTTTGTTTTTCATTTTCCCGATTTTTTAATTTTCACTTTTTCGATTTTATATCACAATTTTTTGTTTTTTCATTTCCTCAATTTTTGTTGTTCCTTTCGATTTTCCAGTTTTTAAATTTTTCAGGTTGCAGTTTTTGGGTTTCCACCCCTTTTTTACTTTTTGGATTTTCAGTTTTTCGTTAAACTTTAGATTTTTCAAATTTTTGACAGTTTTATTTTTATTTAATTCTCAATTTTTTTGATTTCTCGATTTTTCGAATTCAGATGTTTGGATGTTTTGATTGTTCAATTTATCAATTTCTCAATTTTGTTCTATTTCTCGAATTTTTTTAAATTCTGGAGTTTCGATTTGTCGATTTTTCAGTTTTTCGATTTTTAAGTTTTAGACTTTCGAATTTTTCTTTTTTGATTCTTTGATGTTTGGATTTCTTCATTTTTCAATTTTGCGATATTTCAATTGTTCATTGTTTTAAATTTTAGATTTTTCGATTTTCGGCTGTTTTATATATTTTTGGATTTCTGAATTTTTTGAGTTTTCTTTTTTCCGAATTTTTTGTTTTTCGATTTTTCAATTTGTTGAGAAATCGATTTATCGAGATTCGGATGTTTCGATGTTTTGATTCTCTCAGGTTTTGAATTTTTCCATGTTTCGATTTATCGGTTTTTCGTTTTTTTAATTTTCGGCTTTTCAATTTTTGAATTATCCGATTTTCCATTTTTTTAAATTTTCAAGTTTTGACGTTTCTGAGTTTTCAGTTTTCCGATATCTCAATTAATCTATTTTTTGATTTTCCCATTTTCGACTTGCCAAGGTTTCGATTTTTCAGTTTTACGGTTCCTCAATTTTTCGATTTTTTAGGCTCCAGATTTTTCAATTTTTCGATTCTTTAGGTTTGCGATTTTGCGACTTTTCGATTTCCCAATTTTTCAATTTTTTAGTTTTGCAATTTTTCGGTATTACAGTTTCTCATTTTTCGATTTTTCACATTCTCAGTTTTTAATTTTTGTCATTTTCAATTATTCAAGTTCTCGATTTTTATTTTTCATTTTCTCGATTTTATGTCACAAATTTTCATTTTTTCAATTCCTTTATTTCTTGTTTCTTTCGATTTTTCAATTTTTCGAATTTTCAATTTCTCAATTTTTTCGTTTTTTATTTTTGATTTTTCAATTTTACAATTTCTCGACTTCCAAAATTTCCAATTTTTCGTTCTTTCATCATGCATCAGTTTTTCAATTTGGCAATTTTTCAGTATTACAATTTTTCAGTTTCACAATTTTTAATTTTTCCCTTTTCCAATTTTTTGTTTCCAATTTTTATTTTTCATTTTCCCGATTTTTTAATTTTCACTTTTTCGATTTTATATCACAATTTTTCGTTTTTTCATTTCCTTTATTTTTTGTTGTTTCTTTCGATTGTACAATTTTTCGTTTATTCACTTTTTCAAATTTTCAGGTTTTTTTCAATTTTTCTTCAAATTTTCAAGTTTGATTTTCACTATTTACATTTTTCAAGTTTTTATTATACACTTTTTTGTTTTTTTATTTTCGATTTTTCAATTCTACACTTTGTGGACTTCCAAATTTTTCAATATTTCAATTTCTCTTTTTTCCATTTTTCACATTCTCGATTTTTAATTTTTCCCTTTTTCAATTTTTCGTCCCCTCAATTTTTCAACTCCCCGATTTTTATTTTGCATTTTCCTGATTTTATATTTTTCATTTTCCCGATTTTATTTCACAAATTTTCATTTTTTCAATTCCTTTTTTTTTTCTTGTTGTTTCTTTCGATTTTTCAATTTTTCGTTTCCACAATTTTTCATGTTTCCGATTTTTCACTTTTTCAATTCTTAAGATTTTTCAAGTTTTCATTTTGTAATTTTTCGTTTTTTATTTTTGATTTATCAATTTATTACAATTTCTCGACTTCCAAAATTTTCAATTTTTCGGTTTGCATCAGTTTTTCAATTTGTCAATTTTTCAATAGTACAGTTTTTCATTTTTCAATTTTTCAGTTTCTCAATTTTTAATTTTTCACTTTTTCGATTTTATATCACAATTTTTTGTTTTTTCATTTTTTTTATTTTTTGTTGTTTCTTTCGATTTTACAATTTTTCGTTTATTCAATTTTTCAAATTTTCAGGTTTTTTGCAATTTTTCTTCAAATTTTCAAGTTTCATTTTCACTTTTTACATTTTTCAAGTTTTTATTATACACTTTTTCGTTTTTTATTTTTTATTTTTCATTTTTCAATTTTACAACTTGTCGACTTCCACATTTTCCAATTTTTCCATTTTTCACATTCTCGATTTTTAATTTTTCCCTTCTTCAATTTTCCGTCCCCTCAATTTTTCAACTCCCCGATTTTTATTTTGTATTTTCCTGATTTTATATTTTACATTTTTTCGATTTTATATCAATTTTTTGTTTTTTCATTTCCTTAATTTCTGTTGTTTCTTTCGATTTTCCAATTTTTGTTTGGATGTTTTGATTGTTCAGTTTATCAATTTCTCAATTTTTTTTCTCGGTTTTTCGATTTTCCAATTTTTCAATGTTTCGATTTTTCAGTTATCCGATTTTTAAATTTTTTTAAATTCTGGAGTTTCGATTTGTCGAATTTTCAGTTTTTCGATTTTTAAGTTTTAGATTTTCGAATTTTTCTTTTTTGATTCTTTGATGTTTGGATTTCTCCATTTTTCAGTTTTGTGATATTTCAATTGTTCGATGTTTTTATTTTTCGATTTTTCAATTTTTTGAGAACTCGATTTATCGTTTTTTCGTTTTTTTAGTTTTCGGCTTTTCGATTTTTCAATTTTCAATTTTTTAAAATTTTCACGTTTTGACGTTTCTGAATTTTCAGTTTTCCGATTTTTCAATTAATCTATTTTTTTATTTTCCCATTTTCGACTTACCAAGGTTTCGATTTTCAGTTTTTCAGTTCCTCAATTTTTCGATTTTTCAGGCTCCAGATTTTTCAATTTTTCGATTCTCTAGGTTTGCGATTTTTCGACTTTTCGACATTATACCTCCTAAACGCACGGAACAACGGTAGCAATAGCAGGCGTTAAGATATTTGAAAAGTGACTAGAGAACACTAGAGTGGTGTGTGACAATACTGAGTGATACCACCTTAAAAGAAAACAATGTATTCAAAATTTGAATTAAAAATTATTTTAACGTATTTTTTCAGTCGCCAAATTCATGAGGCTCATGGAGCTGGTTCTCACTTTGCCCAACCTGTCAGACGACAACGTCAAAGCAATAAGCACAATTGTGTTAAAATATTGCAACCAAAGTCAAAATTTTTACAAATCTGAAAATATCGATGAAACTCTAGACAAATTGTGTGGTTGCTTGGAACATCTCGTCACGATCCATAAGGTACATTTCCGATTTTATTAAAGTAACAAACATCATCATTATTATTATTTTCAATCTAGGATTACACGATTTTGACAAAACTAGCCGAACTTTTATCCAGCGCGCAGCCAAAAGTTCTTTCTAAATTCTCCAAAGGGTTGTTGGCGTTTTTGGAAGCTTTGATGCTGAACGAGGATAACTCCATCGCCAACAACACGCGAAAACTGATCGAACTATTCGAGACCAAAACCAGCGAACAAGAAATAGTTCCTTTGACGTCGTCCAGATCTTTACGAATAATGAACATGGCGAACAACACCCACAAATCGCGAACGAACAACGTCAAAGTGTCTCCGGCCGCACCCTTGAAAACGAAGCAAGTGTCGAGCCCGCGCGGAAAAAGTCGATTCAGTGATTCAAAGAAGAAAAATGCGTTGTCTATAAATGAAGACAACTCGGCTGACTACGTCAAAATCGACACCAAAGTGAAGATAAACGTCGATAATCTGAGCGAGCACCAGAAGGAGATGTTCAAGAAGAGGAGGGAGGACATTCCTGCGCTGTACCAAGAGCTGACGCAGAGCCAGAGTGAGGATTTCTTCACACGAATCGAAAAAATCGACGACAAAGAAAGTAATAAAAAAGCGACAGAAGATGAAGCTAGAACAAAGTCCACGAAGAAGCGAAGGCGGAGCGACGAAGGAGACGAAGAGCACGCCGCTAAGACTCGCAAAGTGGAAGAAAAAGCTTTTGAGCCGGATGAAAGCTTGACGCCAATTTCCGACGAGATGGACCCGGATTTGCGAAAAATTTTCGACGATGTGGAATTAGAGCCCGTTCAGAAAACCCCACCCGAGGAGTTGTTCCAGGATCCGATTCCAGAGCAGAAGAAAGTGGACACGAGTCCGAACAAAATTCCCGCTGAAGAATCTCCGAAAGACGAATTAGTGGAGAATCACGTAGACGAGAACAAACCAAACAAAACTAGCGATATAGTAAGCAACAGCGACGACAAAACCGACGTTGGAACTGTGCGAGTTTCACCAAGGTCTGCAAAAACGAAGAAACCGTCACCAGAAAAAACCCTACGCAAAAGTCAACGCAACACGGCGAAAAAAATCCGCGAAGAACTCGTAAACGCGGTGAAGAAGCAACTGGAACAATTGAGCGAGTCGGAGACAAACGATGAAAACGACACCACAGAGACTGAAAAAAAGAATGATTTGAATGGACGTGAAAACGGAGACGTCGAAACAACGTTGCGTAAAAGCACAAGACAGATTAAAAAGCGACACAGCGACTATTTGGAGACGCTAAAAAAAAAGAAGAGCGAGGACGCAAATCACGTGAAGGAAGACCAATCGAGTGACGATTTAGCAACGAAATCTCAGCCGAAACGAGACGTAAATAAGAAGAAACAAAAACGGCAAAGTCTCCCGGCGCAGTTGAAAAAAAAAAGCGACGAAGACGAAAGTATCGAGGATTTGCTGGCTAGAGTGGACAAGAGAATCGAAGAAAGCAAGAAAATTGAAAACCCGCCACAAAAACGCGAAACGAAGGTACCAGATGGAAATGATAACGAAATCGACGAATTGGCTGCAGTTAAGACGGATGAAACAACGAACAAAGATCAAGATTTGAAAAAGAAAAATGCTGTTAAAAAAGAGAAGAAGCGTCAGAGTCTCCCGGTTACTATAACCCCAGTGACTACTGACGATAAAGTCGCTTCTTCCGTGTCTCTGGACGTAACTGCAGACACCGCTAGAGACACTGAAACCCCTCCAGCAGCCGTCGACGTTTACGAATTTAAAGCTGACGAAGAGTCAGTCGTGTCTGACGAAGCTAAAAAGAAGAAAAAGCAACGAAGGAAGGGGATGGCGTTCAACCGCCGCGACTACATTTCGAAACGACGAAAGAAGCCAAAGAAGGAAACGCGAGATGAAGGTTTTCCGTTCCACATCACGGCGGATTCGCCTGTGCCGCTAAGTCAGAGTTCGTCTCTACGAGCCGTCGCTTCGTCCCAAACCAGCGAAACCATCACCATTCTGATCACGCGCAGTCCACCCGACTCCAGAGAAAACCAGGAGAATCACAGCGACAGCAGTGTGACTAGCAACGGGTCACCCACGTCACCCAAGAAGAAGAATAAGCGCAAACAGTCGCCGAATTCCGAAGACTTTATAGAGAGTTCTCAAGCTCCAGTTGCGGACAAGAGTTGTCTGAAAAATAAATTCAAAGGGTTTAGACAAACAACGATCGAGGAGTCGATGCAAGTCTTGCAACCCGAGAAAGACGCAGAAACGGAAACGATGGACTTGGATTCCGTTCCTGGAAACGAAAATAAAGTAAAGCCGTTGAGAATTTCCAAAACAAGACGATTTTCTTTGACTGAGCCGTCGTCGCAAAAAGTTGACGTTGGTAAACGCTTGAAACGTAGCAGGTCGTTGGAGAAGCTGGATTTTGCGTCGGAATTGATAACTTTTTCTTTGGAGAAGGTTACTAAAGAAGAAGTTCATGTTAACGATACGTCGCTGGATACTCTTACGTGCGATTCGATTCCAAGCAAAGAGGAAACTCCTGCTCTGGATTCAGAGAACTTGGGTGAAGTGGATACTCTTACTCTTAGTCCGGTGCGAAGTCCGACTAAACAGGATCTTCCGGGGTCACCAGTGACTTGCGATACCCCGGAACGCACCACCGAGTTACTAAACAACACATCAGACATATCCCCCATTAGTTCGACGTCGGAAGTCACTACACCCAAACAAGCCACTAACGAAGTTTCAAATAGAAGAGTAGCAAGGTTGTTACAAATGGTCAATTCTAACGTGCAAGTCAGTACCGAGGGGAGAAGGTGGTTCGGGAATAAAGTTTCTTCACCGAGTAGCGGCAGAATCCGGAAAATACGTATGAAGAAAGAAGAAAATTTGGATATTTTAACGTTCTCGAGGGAGGTCCCCAGTCCATTAACAGTTCCGGCCAGCGGTATTTTAAAAAGAAAATTCAACAATGTAGATGAAGTAGCCACTCCGTCTCCCAAGGTAAGTAAATATTATCACTCCCAACCAAACTATGACACGTTTTCTCAGAGAAAACGCGTCAACTTCTCCGACCCGGCCATCACCGACAAGAAACTCTTCATCAAAGACGCCGAAGAGTACGAAATCGACCAAAAAACCTACAGTACAAACGAATCTCAAGTAGACGAAGCGGACGACTTAGCGGACACTAAGGTAAGTCATTTCGTTTGTGTTCTTTTATACATGGACATGGATTGTAGAAAACGAAGGAATTCCTGGACGGTTTTGAGCGCGACAGCGCTCTCCTCACTTTCCGAGATTTTTGTGATTCCAATTTCAAAAATACATCTCTAGACGATACCAAAACCGCTCTTAAGCACCTCTTACACAATTTGCAAGTCCCTGAAGTCGTGGAAATCATCACCGACTATTTAGGTGATGAGATTAAAAACACGCTAACGAATGAATCGTGCGAACAAATCGTCGACCGATTTGTCGTCCCTCTTGTCGAAAATGTGATCAATTTCGAAGACTTTTTACCAAAGTTGCTTAAGGTGGTGGAGAAGCTACCGAACGATCGACTGCAGCGGTTCATTGACGACGTTACCGCGGTGTTTGGAGATAGGATAAACCATAGTATTAGTGCGAAACTGACGCAGGAGCAAGTGGAAGAGCACGTTTTGAGTCTCAGCTGCGACAAGGTTCACGATTTGATGAAGACGTATTGTTCGAATTTGGAGCAGCAGCAGCGCAATGAGTTTCTAGTAGGGTTGATGAGTTTGGCCAGTGATGAGCTTCCTTTCAACAAGGAATTCCTCAATTCGCACGTTACTATTTTGCAAAATTTTGTTAAGAAAATGACAGACTAGTACAGGATTTTTGTTAGTTTTGTCTTGGGGTTGCGTTAAAAGGACTGAGTCATGTTTGTATATTTGTATTACTTAAGTTTACAGTAACATTGTATATCTTTTTTTTCGTAGATGTATAAATTAATAAAACTTACAGTATGGTTCAATGTTTCGTTTTTAATGTACCTGTTACGTTTCTGGAAAGATAATAAATGCCTTTGAAGTATTTTGTTTTTTCATGAATGGTTTAGCGGCTTTCGCACATTGCGGTATTTACTAGGTTTACGCGATCTTACTTGCAGACTAAAACCTTGTATTTCGGTAAAGCGGCACGCCAATGGCAAATCCTTTCATTGTGTAGTTCAAAGCCCGTCGCCAGAGGTCGCAATAAAAAGATATCAGTTAAAGTCACTAGATCTACTATTACTTTTAGATTTCAAGATCGAGTCACATTAATATCAGTTAATATCAGTAAAAGCTTATTCGCACAGATTTTTAAAATTCGTTTACACCCTCTCATCTTTTCACCCTTTATCAACACTTTCACCTCAAATGATTCACTCTTTACCATTTTTTTCTTAATGTACATAGCCATCTTTTCACAACAAAAAACTTAAAACACGCTTAAAATGATACATTTTTGCAAGGAAATGTGGATTTCGATATTTCCTTATACACATTTTCTATTTTAAACATGTTTTAAGTTTCATGTTGTAAAAAAAATCTACATAAATATTAAAACTAGAGATGTACCGACTGTAGGTCTGGCCGACTAACCGACTAGCCGATTGTTCGGCCAGTAAAAACCGACTAGTCGGCCGACTGTTCGGCTTTGCTTAAACCGGTTTATAAATGCGACAGACAGTGTGTTTTTTTTTTCTATTTCTCTAACTACCTTAAAAATGTGTTTTATTTTAATAAAAAGAATAACTAAAGTTCCTTTATTTTCCAAAAAATGTGTTAAATTTGTTTGGATAATTTTAACATTTAATTTTTTTAGTAACTCAGTACAAAAATAAAGAATAACACAATTTAGGGCCAGTTTATACAATATTTTAACTGAGTTTAAGTTGATCGCGCATTCAACAAGGCCATTAGCGACGTCTGATTGGCGTAGAGTCGGTCACATGGTACTTTAACGCGGGGTTAAAAACTAATCGCAACTAAATATTTAATTGAGGTTCTGTAAACCGGGTTTAATTGTTTTATATACTATTTTAATTTTAATAAAAAAAAACCGACCGATCGGCTGTTTAGCCAATTAGTCGCCGACTGCCAGCCGACGATGAAAAACGGCCGAATAGTCGGCTTATCCGACCGGTCGGCCACTAGTCGGTACATTCCTAATTAAAACAAAAAGGCAAAAAGTAAGCCCGCCCACCCACCCTGTCTCAAATGTGATGATTTTTTTATTCGCCGTGAACCAAGAGGGCGGAGCCCAACTGCAAAACACTTCATTCTTTACAAGAAATGAAAAACATGTTTTTGATTATCTTGTTTTTCAAACACTGCTATGTATGTTAAGAAAAAAAGGCAAAATATAAACCCCGCCCACCCACCCCATCTCGATTGTAATGATTTGTTTTATTCTTAGAAACTTGAAACACATTTAAAATGGTAAATTTTTATTAGGAAGTATGGATTATGCAATTAGGCTCCGCCCCTAGGTCTGCCAACGAATAAAAACTTCATTACTATTTAGATCAGGGCAGATATGGGTGAAGTTTAATCTTTGGCTTTAATTTTTTCTATAGTATGTACATAGTATTCTTTGAATAATACGATACTCAGAAACATGTCTTACAAGGTAATTTCTTGCAGAGAAATAATAAGGAGTTTGCAATTAATAAATTCCGCTCCTTTGGCTCCCGGCAATTAAAAAAAAATCATCACAGTTGAGATAGGGCGGGTGGGCGGGGCTTATATTTTGCTTTTTCTTATCATACGTAGTCACCTTTTCAGAACATAGAAAAATATCGATTTTGCAATTGCCCCGCCCCTGAGTCTGACAACGAATGAAAAATTCATCACGATAGAGATCGAGACGGATTGGTTTTTCTTTTTTAGTTAATACATTTAGGTTTCTTTGTATAACACGATTACTTACGAACGTATATATTTCACAGGGTAAGGAAAAGAAGGATTTTATAATTAAGCTCCGCCCCTCAGCTTACGACCAATAAAAAAATCATCAGAATTGAGATAGGGCGGGTGGGCGGGGCTTATATTTTGGCTTTTTTTTTTCTTAATATACATAGTAGAGATGTACCGACTAGTGGCCGACCGGTCGGATAAGCCGACTATTCGGCCGATTTTCATCGTCGGCTCCAGTCGGCGACTGGTCGGCTAAACAGCCGATCGGTCGGCTTTTTTATTAAAATTAAAATAGTACTATATAAAACAATTAAACCCGGTTTACAGAACCTCAATTAAATATTTAATTGATTTTTTAATTTTTAACCCCGCGTTAAAGTACCATGTGACCGACTCTACGCCAATCAGACGTCGCTAATGGCCTTGTTGAATGCGCGATCAACTTAATCTCAGTTAAAATATTGTAAAAACTGGCCATAAATTGTGTTATTCTTTATTTTTGTACTGAGTTACTAAAAAAAAATTCAATGTTAAAATTATCCAAACAAATTTAACACATTTTTTGGAAAACAAAGGAACTTTAGTTATTCCTTTTATTAAAATAAAACAAATATTTAAGGTAGTCAGAGAAATAGAAAAAAAACACACTGTCTGTCGCATTTATAAACCGGTTTTAGCAAAGCCGAACAGTCGACCGACTAGTCGGTTTTTACTGGCCGAACAATCGGCTAGTCGGTTAGTCGGCCAGACCTACAGTCGGTACATCTCTAATACATAGCCATCTTTTCACAACAATAAACTTAGAACATAGTTAAAATGGTACATTTGTGCAAGGAAATATCGATTTTGCAATTAGGCTCCGCCCCATAATTGCAAAATCCATATTTCCTATAACAAATTTTCCATTTTAAACATATTTTAAGTTTCATGTTGTGAAAATAAATGTACATATATTAAAACACAAGGCAAAATTTAAACCCGCCCACCCGCCCTATCTCGATTGTAATGATTTTTTTTTATTTACCGTGAACCAGAGGGGCGAAGGTTAACTGCAAAATACTTATTTCTTTACAAGAAACTAAAAACTTACGTTTGAATATCGTGTTGATCAAAGAATATTGTGTATATTAAGAAAAAAAAAGGCAAAAAGTAAACCCCACCCACCCACCCAATCTCAATTGTGATGATTTTTTTTATTCGCCGTAAACCAAGGGGTCGGAGCTTAACTGCACAATACTTATTTCTTTACAAGAAATTAAAACCATGTTTTTGAGAATCGTGTTGTTCAAAGAATACTGTGTATATTAAGAAAACAAGGCAAAATGTAGACCCCGCCCACCCACCCCATCTCAATTGTGATGATTTTTTTTATTCTTAGAAACTTAAACATATTTAAAATGGTCAACTTTTGCAAGGTAGTATGCATTTTGCAGTTAGGTTCCGCCCCTAGGTCTGCCAACGAATGAAAACTTCATTACCATTTAGATCAGGGCAGGTATGGGTGGAGCTTAATTTTTGGTTTTAATTTTTTCTTATTATATGTACATAGTATTCTGTGAATAACACGCTACTTAAAAACATGTGTTACATCATAATTTCTTGTAGAGAAATAATAAGGATTTTACAATTAATAAATTCCGCTCCTTTGGCTTCCGACGATTAAAAAAATCATTACAATTGAGATAGGGCGGGTAGGCGGAGCTTAAATTTTTCTTTTTTCTTATCATACGTAATCGTCTTTTCAGAATAAGAAACTTAAAAGTGTTTACAATTATAAATTTTTGTAGGCAAATATGGATTTTGCAATTCAATTCCGCCCCTCGATCTGACAAGGAATGAAAAATTCATCACAATTGAGAATTGAGATCGGGGCGTGGGGGCCTAATCTTTTGCTTTATTTTTTTCGTAATATACATAGTATTCTTTGAACAACACGATACTCAAAAACATGTTTTTAATTTGTCGTAGTTATTAATTGAAAAACTAAAAATCAAAAAAATTGGGAAATCGAGACAATTAAAAAACTAAAATGTAAAAAGTGGAAAAATTGAAAAAGCGAGAAGGCGAAAAGTCGAAAAACCGAAAATTAGAAATTAAAAAAGTTGAAAAATTTATAATTAAAAAAAATCGAAATGTTAAAAAAATAAGAAACCGAGAAATTAAAAAATAAAATAAAAATTGAACCATTCCAAAATCGAAAATTGGAAGACCAAGAACTCAAAAAATCGAAATATCGAAGTGTCAAAAAATCGAGAAAGGAAAAAATTGAGAAATCGAAACATTATAAAAAACGAAAGCTTGAAAAATGTAAAATTTAAAGTCAAAAAACCGAGAAATTGGGAAATCGAAAAATTGAAAAATCGAGAAATCGAAAAATTAAAATATTAAAAATAGAAGAAACTTAAAATTGAAAAGTGGAAAAACTGAAGAATTACAAGTTGAAAGATCCCAAACCTAAAATGCTTTAAAATCGAAATCGAAAATGGAAAAATAGAGAAATGGAAACATCCAAAGATTGAAAATCGAAATATTAACGAAAAATCGAGAAATCGAAACCACGCAAGGCAGAGAAGTCAAAAAATGAAAAATTAAAAACGGAAAATTCTAAAGTTCAAAGAACTGAAAAATGAAAAATTGAAAAACTGAAAAATCAAAAATTAAAAAGTTGAAAAATCGAGAAATAGAAATCATCAAAAATAGAAAAATTGAAAAACTGAAAAATAAAAAAAACGGGAAATCGAGACATTTGAAAATCTAAAATTTATGTAAAAAGTCAAAAAATTGAAAAAGCGAAATGGCGAAAGACCGAAAAATTGGGAAATCAAAATCATCAAAAATCGAAATATTGAAAGACTGAAAAATAAAAAAAATCGGGAAATCGACACATTTGAAAATCTAAAATTTATGTATAAAGTGAAAAAATTGAAAAAGCGAGGTGGCGAAAAACCGAAAATTTGGGAAATCGAATAATTGAAAAATCGAGAAATCAAAATCATTAAAAATCGAAAAATTGAAAAACTGAAAAATAAAAAAAATCGGGAAATCGACAGTGACTAGCAACGGGTCACCCAGCTCACCCAAGACGAAGAATAAGCGCAAACAGTCGCCGAGTTCCGAAGACTTTATAGAGAGTTCTCAAGCGCCTGTTGCGGACAAGAGTTGTCTGAAAAATAAATTCAGAGGGTTTAGACAAACAACGATCGAGGAGTCGATGCAAGTCCTGCAACCCGAGAAAGACGCAGAAACGGAAACGATGGACTTGGATTCCGTTCCTGGAAACGAAAATAAAGTAAAGCCGTTGAGAATTTCCAAAACAAGACGATTTTCTTTGACTGAGCCGTCGTCGCAAAAAGTTGACGTTGGTAAACGCTTGAAACGTAGCAGGTCGTTGGAGAAGCTGGATTTTGCGTCGGAACTGATAACTTTCTCTTTGGAGAAGGTTACTAAAGAAGAAGTTCATGTTAACGATACGTCGCTGGATACTCTTACGTGTGATTCGATTCCAAGCAAAGAGGAAACTCCTGCTCTGGATTCAGAGAACTTGGGTGAAGTGGATACTCTTACGTTTAGTCCGGTGCGAAGTCCGACTAAACAGGATCTTCCGGGGTCACCAGTGACTTGCGATACCCCGGAACGCACCACCGAGTTACTAAACAACACATCAGACATATCCCCCATTAGTTCGACGTCGGAAGTTACTACACCCAAACAAGCCACTAACGAAGTTTCAAATAGAAGAGTAGCAAGGTTGTTACAAATGGTCAATTCGAACGTGCAAGTCAGTACCGAGGGGAGAAGGTGGTTCGGAAATAAAGTTTCGTCACCGAGTAGCGGCAGAATCCGGAAAATACGTATGAAGAAGGAAGAAAATTTGGATATTTTAACGTTCTCGAGGGAGGTCCCCAGTCCATTAACAGTTCCGGCCAGCGGTATCCTAAAAAGGAAATTCAACAATGTAGACGAAGTAGCCACACCGTCTCCCAAGGTAAGTAAATATTTTTACTCCCAACCAAACTACGACACGTTTTCTCAGAGAAAACGCGTCAACTTCTCCGACCCGGCCATCACCGACAAGAAACTCTTCATCAAAGACGCCGAAGAGTACGAAATCGACCAAAAAACCTACAGTACAAACGAATCTCAAGTAGACGAAGCGGACGACTTAGCGGACACTAAGGTAAGTCATTTCGTTTGTATTCTTTTATACATGGACATGGATTGTAGAAAACGAAGGAATTCCTGGACGGTTTTGAGCGCGACAGCGCTCTCCTCACTTTCCGAGATTTTTGTGATTCCAATTTCAAAAATACATCTCTAGACGATACCAAAACCGCGCTTAAGCACCTCTTACACAATTTGCAAGTCCCCGAAGTCATGGAAATCATCACCGACTATTTAGGTGATGACGAGATTAAAAACACGCTAACGAATGAATCGTGCGAACAAATCGTCGACCGATTTGTCGTCCCTCTTGTCGAAAATGTGATCAATTTCGAAGACTTTTTACCAAAGTTGCTTAAGGTGGTGGAGAAGCTACCGAACGATCGACTGCAGCGGTTCATTGACGACGTTACCGCGGTGTTTGGAGATAGGATAAACCATAGTATTAGTGCGAAGCTGACGCAGGAGCAAGTGGAAGAGCACGTTTTGAGTCTGAGCTGCGACAAGGTTCACGATTTGATGAAGACGTATTGTTCGAATTTGGAGCAGCAGCAGCGCAATGAGTTTCTAGTAGGGTTGATGAATTTGGCCAGTGATGAGCTTCCTTTCAACAAGGAATTCCTCAATTCGCACGTTACTATTTTGCAAAATTTTGTTTCAAAAATGACAGACTAGTACAGGATTTTTGTTAGTTTTGTCTTGGGGTTGCGTTAAAAGGACTGAGTCATGTTTGTATATTTGTATTACTTAAGTTTACAGTAACATTGTATATCTTTTTTTTCGTAGATGTATAAATTAATAAAACTTACAGTATGGTTCAATGTTTCGTTTTTAATGTACCTGTTACGTTTCTGGAAAGATAATAAATGCCTTTGAAGTATTTTGTTTTTTCATGAATGGTTAGCCGCTTTCGCAGATTGCGCTATTTACTAGGTTTACGCGATCTTACATGCAGACTAAAACCTTGTATTTCGGTAAAGCGGCACGCCAATGGCAAATCCTTTCATTGTGTAGTTCAAAGCCCGTCGCCAGAGGCCGCAATAAAAATATATCAGTAAAAGATTATTCGCACAAATTTTTAAAATTTGTTTACACCCTCTCATCTTTTCACCCTTTATCAACACTTTCACCTCAAATGATTGACTCTACCATTTTTTTCTTAATATACATAGCCATCTTTTCACAAAAAGAAACTTAAAACACGCTTAAAATGATACATTTTTGCAAGGAAATGTGGATTTCGATATTTCCTTATACACACTTTCTATTTTAAACATGTTTTAAGTTTCATGTTGTGAAAAGAAATCTACATAAATATCAAAACAAAAAGGCAAAAAATAAGCCCGCCCACCCACCCTGTCTCAAATGTGATGATTTTTTTATTCGCCGTGAACCAAGAGGGCGGAGCTTAACTGCAAAACACGTCATTCTTTACAAGAAATGAAAAACATTTTTTTGATTATCTTGTTTTTCAAACACTGCTATGTATATTAAGAAAGAAAGGCAAAATATAAACCCCGCCCACCCACCCCATCCCGATTGTAATGATTTTTTTATTCTTAGAAACTTAAAACTCATTTAAAATGGTAAATTTTTATTAAGAAAAATGGATTATGCAATTAGGCTCCGCCCCTAGGTCTGCCAACGAATAAAAACTTCATTACTATTTAGATCAGGGCAGACATGGGTGGAGTTTAATCTTTGGCTTTAATTTTTTCTATGTGTATGTACATACTATTCTTTGAATAACACGATACTCAAAAACATGTCTTACAAGGTAATTTCTTGTAGACAAATAATAAGGAGTTTGCAATTAATAAATTCCGCTCCTTTGGCTCCCGGCAATTAAAACAAGTCATCACAATTGAGATAGGGCGGGTGGGCGGGGCTTATATTTTCCTTTTTCTTATCATACGTAGTCGCCTTTTCAGAACATAGGAAAATATCGATTTTGCAATTGTCCCGCCCCTGAGTCTGACAACGAATGAAAATTTCAACACGATAGAGATCGAGACGGATTGGTTTTCTTTTTTAGTTAATACATTTAGGTTTCTTTGTATAACACGATTACTTACGATAGTATATATATCACATGGTAAGGAAAAGAAGGATTTTATAATTAAGCTCCGCCCCTCAGCTTACGACCAATAAAACAAATCATCAGAATTGAGATAGGGCGGGTGGGCGGGGCTTATATTTTGGTATTTTTTTCTTAACATACGTAGTCATCTTTTCACAACAAGAAACTTAGAACATAGTTAAAATGGTACATTTGTGCAAGGAAATATGGATTTTGCCATTATAGGGCGGACCCTAATTGCAAAATCGATATTTCCTAATACAAATTTTCCATTTTAAACAAATTTTAAGTTTCATGGAGTGAAAATAAGTCTACATATATTAAAACAACAAGGCAAAATATAAACCCGCCCACCCGCCCTGTCTCAATTGTGATGATTTTTTTTTAATTACCGTGAATCAAGGAGGCGGAGATTTACTGCAAAATACTTATTTCTTTACAGAAAATTAAAAACTTACATTTGAGTATCGTGTTGCTCAAAGAATATTTTGTATATTAAGAAAAAAGAAGCAAAAAGTAAACCCCACCCACCCACCCAATCTCAATTGTGATGATTTTTTTATTCTTCGAAACTGAAAACTTATTTAAAATGGTCAACTTTCGTAAGATAGTGTGGATTTTTCAATTAGGCTCCGCCCCTAGGTCTGCCAACGAATGAAAAATTCATTACTATTTAGATCGGGGCAGGTATGGGTGGAGCTTAATTTTTGGTTTTCATTTTTTCTTAATGTATGTATTGTACATAGTACTCTTTGAATAATACGCTACTTAAAAACATGTATTACATGATAATTTCTTGTAGAGAAATAATAAGGATTTTTCAATTAATAAATTCCGCTCCTTTGGCTTTCGACGATTAAAAAAATAATCACGATTGAGATAGGGTGGGTGGGTGGGGCTTATATTTTGTTTTTTCTTATCATACGTAGTCGCCTTTTCAGAACATAGGAAAATATCGATTTTGCAATTGCCCCGCCCCTGAGTCTGACAACGAATGAAAAATTCATCACGATAGAGATCGAGACGGATTGGTTTTCTTTTTTAGTTAATGCATTTAGGTTTCTTTGTATAACACGATTACTTACGAACGTATATATTTCACATGGTAAGGAAAAGAAGGATTTTATAATTAAGCTCCGCCCCTCAGCTTACGACCAATAAAAAAAATCATCAGAATTGAGATAGGGCGGGTGGGCGGGGCTTATATTTTGGTTGTTTTTTTCTTAATATACATAGCCATCTTTTCACAACAAGAAACTTAGAGCATAGTTAAAATGGTACATTTGTGCAAGGAAATATGGATTTTGCAATTATGGGGCGGAGCCTAATTCCAAAATCCATATTTCCTAATACAAATTTTAAACATATTTTAAGTTTCATGTTGTGAAAAGAAGTCTACATATATTAAAACAACAAGGCAAAATTTAAACCCGCCCACCCGCACTATCTCGATTGTAATGTTTTCTTTTTTATTTACCGTGAACCAAAGGGGCAGAGGTTAACTGCAAAATACTTATTTCTTTACAGAAAATTAAAAACTTACGTTTGAGTATCGTGTTGCTCAAAGAATATTGTGTATATTAAGAAAAAATACGCAAAAAGTAAACCCCGCCCACCCACCCAGTCTCAATTGTGATTATTTTTTTTTATTTGCCGTGGACCAAGGGGGCGGAACTTAACTGCAAAATACTTATTTCTTTACAAGAAATTAAAACCATGTCTCTGAGAATCGTGTTGTTCAAAGAATATTGTGTATATTAAGAACACAAGGCAAAATGTAAACCCCGCCCACCCACCCCATCTCAATTGTGATGATTTTTTTATTCTTAGAAACTTAAACATATTTAAAATGGTCAACTTTTGCAAGGTAGTATGGATTTTGCAGTTAGGTTCCGCCCCTAGGTCTGCCAACGAATGAAAAGTTCATTACTGTTTAGATCAGGGCAGGTATGGGTGGAGCTTAATTTTTGGTTTTAATTTTTTCTTACTATATGTACATAGTATTCTTTGAATGACACGCTACCTACTTAAAAACATGTGTGACATGATAATTTCATGTAGAGAAATAATAAGGATTTTGCAATTAATAAATTCCGCTCATTTGGCTCTCGATGATTAAAAAAATCATCACAATTGAGATAGGGTGGGTGGGCGGGGCGTATATTTTGCCATTTGCTTAATATACGTAGTCGTCTTTTCAGAATAAGAAACTTAAAAGTGTTTAAAGTGGTAAATTCTTGTAGGCAAATATGGATCTTGTAATTAAGCCCCGTCCCTCGATCTGACAACGAATGAAAAATTCGTCACAATTGAGAATTGAGATCGGGGCGGGTGGGGTCTAATCTTTGGCTTTATTTTTTTCGTAATATACATAGTATTCTTTGAACAACACGATACTAAAAAACATGTTTTTAATTTGTCGTAGTTATTAATTGAAAAACTGAAAAATCAAAATAATTGGGGAATCGAGACAATTAAAAAACTAAAATGTAAAAAGTGGAAAAATTGAAAAAGCGAGAAGGCTAAAAGTCGAAAAACCGAAAATCAGAAATTAAAAAAGTTGAAAAATTCATAATTAAAAAAATCGAAATGTCAAAAAAATAAGAAACCGAGTAATTAAAAAATAAAATAAAAATTGAACCATTGCAAGATCGAAAATTGGAAGACCAAGAACTCAAAAAACCGAAATATCGAAGTGTCAAAAAATCGAGAAAGCAAAAAATTGAGAAATCGAAACATTATAAAAAACGAAAGCTTGAAAAATGTAAAATTTAAAGTCAAAAAACCGAGAAATTGGGAAATCGAAAAATTGAAAAATCGAGAAATCGAAAAATCAAAATATTAAAAATAGAAGAAACTTAAAATAGAAAAGTGGAAAAACTGAAGAATTACAAGTTGAAAGATCCCAAACCTAAAATGCTTTAAAATCGAAATCGAAAATGGAAAAATAGAGAAATGGAAACATCCAAAGATTGAAAATCGAAATATTAACGAAAAATCGAGAAATCGAAACCACGCAAGGCAGAGAAGTCAAAAAATGAAAAATTAAAAACGGAAAATTCTAAAGTTCAAAGAACTGAAAGACGAAAAATTGAAAAACTGAAAAATCAAAAACTTAAAAAGTTGAAAAATCGAGAAATAGAAATCATCAAAAATAGAAAAATTGAAAAACTGAAAAATAAAAAAAATCGGGAAATCGAGACATTTGAAAATCTAAAATTTATGTAAAAAGTCAAAAAATTGAAAAAGCGAAATGGCGAAAGACCGAAAAATTGGGAAATCAAAATCATCAAAAATCGAAATATTGAAAGACTGAAAAATAAAATAAATTGGGAAATCGACACATTTGAAAATCTAAAATTTATGTATAAAGTGAAAAAATTGAAAAAGCGAGGTGGCGAAAAACCGAAAAATTGGAAAATCGAATAATTGAAAAATCGAGAAATCAAAATCATTAAAAATCGAAAAATTGAAAAACTGAAAAATAAAAAAAATCGGGAAATCGACAGTGACCAGCAACGGGTCACCCAGCTCACCCAAGAAGAAGAATAAGCGCAAACAGTCGCCGAGTTCCGAAGACTTTATAGAGAGTTCTCAAGCGCCTGTTGCGGGCAAGAGTTGTCTGAAAAATAAATTCAGAGGGTTTAGACAAACAACGATCGAGGAGTCGATGCAAGTCCTGCAACCCGAGAACGACGCAGAAACGGAAATGACGGACTTTGAAAATAAAGTAAAGCCGTT